ATACTTGCAGGAATAATTAGGTTAAGACTGGTTGCACACCTGGAGAACGTTAGGTTTGTAAACAAACAACATCTGTTCTGGAAAGGTAAATCGTGCCTTACAAACCTTTTGGAATTCTTTGATAAAATAACGAGGATAAGACAGGACAGAGAAGGTTGGGCAGACTGCATATTTTTGGACTGTCAAAAAGCCTTTGATACAGTACCGCACATGAGACTGCTGTTGAAACTCGAGAGGCTGGCAGGGGTGGGAGGAAAGGCCCTAGCATGGATAAGGTACCACTAACAGGAAGGAGCCAAAGAGTTACGGTAAGGGGCGAGAAGTCGGACTGACGAACAGTAACGAGTGGAGTACCACAAGGATCGGTGCTGGGACCAATTCTATTTCTAATATATGTTAACGACATGTTTACAGGAGTAGAGTTCTACATGTCGATGTTCGCGGATGACGCAAAGTTGATAAGAAGAGTTGTGACAGATGAGGATTGCAGGATCCTCCAAGAGGACCTGAACAGGTTGCAGAGATGGTCAGAGAAATGGCTACTGGAGTTCAACACGAGCAAATGTAAAGTTATGGAAATGGGATCAGGTGATAGGAGACCAAAGGGACAGTACACAATGAAGGGGAACAGCCTACCTGTAACGATTCGAGAAAGAGACCTGGGTGTGGATGTGACACCTAATCTAACTCCTGAGGCGCATATAAATAGGATAACGACAGCAGCGTACTCTACACTGGCAAAAGTTAGAACATCATTCAGAAACCTAAGTAAGGAGGCATTTAGGGCGCTTTACACTGCCTACGTGAGGCCAGTCTTAGAGTATGCCGCCTCATCATGGAGTCCCCATCTGAAGAAACACATAAGGAAACTGGAAAAGGTTCAGAAGTTTGCAACGAGACTCGTCCCAGAGTTACGAGGGATGGGGTATGAAGAGCGCCTGAAGGAACTGAGCCTTACGACACTAGAAAAAAGAAGGGAGAGGGGGGGATATGATAGGAACGTATAAAATACTCAGGGGGATTGACAGAGTGGAAATAGACGAAATGTTCACACGGAATAGTAACAGAACGAGGGGACATGGGTGGAAGCTGGAAACTCAGATGAGTCACAGAGATGTTAGGAAGTTTTCTTTTAGCGTGAGAGTAGTGGGAAAATGGAATGCACTTAAGGAACAGGTTGTGGAAGCAAATACTATTCATAATTTTAAAACTAGGTATGATAGGGAAATAGGACCGGAGTCATTGCTGTAAACAACCGATGCCTCGAAAGGCGGGATCCAAGAGTCAATGCTCGATCCTGCAGACACAAATAGGTGAGTACACACACACAGGGGTCTGGTAGCTGAGTGGACAGCGCGAGGTACTCGTAATCCTGTGGCACAGGTTCGATTCCCGGACTAGGCAGAAACAAATAGGACGAGATTCTTTCACCCTGGTGCGCCTGTTTACCCCAGCAGAAAATAGGTACCTGGGAGTTAGATAGCTGTTACGGGCTGCTTCCTAGATGTGTGTGTGTGTACACACACACACACACACACACACACACACACACACACACACACACACACACACACACGCGCGCGCGCGCGCGCTCGCCAGTTGCAACCAGTTGAGAAGCGTGACCAAAGAGTCAGAGCTCAACCCCGCAAGCACCACTAGGTTTGTACACACACACAAGTACACAAGGGCAAGTGAGGGCCGTGTGGACCTGTGGTACCTGAGGGCCGTGTGGACCTGTGGTACCTGGCAGTTACGCAGCTGCTGCGGGCTGCTTCCTGGGGATGTGAGCGTCCGTGTGTTAGAGAGAAATATATGTAGTCGACATAATAGGATAATATATTGTTATAAAGGCTGGGTCCAAGAGCTAATAGTTCGATTCTGCAAGCACAAATAGTAAATATTAAACACACACTCACACACACACACACATATCACGATACAAACCCGAAATCAAGACAGATGAAGATAGACAGAGACTACAGGAAGACCTGAACAAACTGGAGGAATGGTCTAGAAAATGGCTACTAAAGTATAACTCAGGAAAGTGTAAAGTAATGAAATTAGGCGAAAGGGAGCAGGAGGCTGAACACAAGGTACCATCTGGGAGGTGAAATCCTGCAAGAGTCAAATAGAGAGAAAGATCTGGGGGTTGATATCACACCGAACCTGTCCCCTGAGGCCTACATCAAAAGGATATCATCAGCGGCATATGCTAAATTGGCAAACATAAGAACTGCCTTTAGAAACTTGTGTAAGGAATCGTTTAGGACCTTGAATACCACTTATGTCTGACCAATCCTGGAGTATGCAGCTCCAGCCTGGAGTCCATACCAAGTTAAACACTAGAAAAAATTAGAGAAGATTCAGAGGTATGCCACCAGACTAGCCCAGAATTGAGAGGTATGAGCTACGAGGAAAGGCTAGGAGAGCTAAACCTCACGTCCCTGGAAAACAGAAGAGTAAGGGGAGACATGATAACCACCTACAACATTCTCAGGGGAATTGACAGGGTGGATAAAGACATTGTTAAGCACGGGTGGAACACGAACAAGGGGACACAGGTTGAAACTTAGTACCCAAATGAGCCATAGAGATATTAGAACCAAAAATTCAGTGTCAGAGTAGTTAACAAATGGAATTCATTTGGCAGTGATGTAGTGGAGGCTGACTCGATTCACAGTTTCAAATATAGATATGATTGAGCCCAATAGGCTCCAGAATCTGTACACCTGTTGATTGACTGTTGAGAGGCGGGAGCAAAGAGCCAAAGCTCAACCCTCGCAAGCACAACTAGGTGAGTACATACACACATACACAAGGGACCTGTGAGGGCCTCGCGGCTGAGTGGAAAGCGCTCTGGAGTCGTAGTCCTATCGGCTCGTGTTCGATTCCCGGCGAATGTGGAAACAAATGGGCAGTTTCAGTCACCCTGATGCACCTGTTCTCCTAACACTAAATTGGTACCTGGGAGATAGACAGCTGTTACGGGCTGCTTCCTTTGGGATGTGTATGTGTATGTGTACTCACCTATTTGTATTCACCTAGTTGTGCTTGCGGGGGTTGAGCTCTGGCTCTTTGGTCCCGCCTCTCAACCGTCAATCAACATGTGTACAGGTTCCGGAGCCTATTGGGCTCTATCATATCTACACTTGAAACTGTGTATGGAGTCAGCCTCCACCACATTACTTCCTAATGCATTCCATTTGTCAACCACTCTGACACTAAAAAAGTTCTTTCTAATATCTCTGTGGCTCATTTGGGCACTCAGTTTCCACCTGTGTTCCCTAGTGCGTGTGCCCCTTGTGTTAAATAGCCTGTCTTTATCAACCCTGTCGATTCCCTTGAGAATCTTGAATGTGGTGATCATGTCCCCCCTAACTCTTCTGTCTTCCAACGAAGTGAGGTTTAATTCCCGTGGTCTCCCCTCGTAGCTCATACCTTTTTAGCTCGGGTACTAGTCTGGTGGCAAAACTTTGAACCTTTTCTAGTTTAGTCTTATGCTTGACTAAATATGGACTCCATGCTGGAGCCGCATATTCCAGGATTGGTCTGACATATGTGGTATATAATGTTCTGAAAGATTCCTTACACAAGTTTCTAAAGGCCGTTCTTATGTTAGCCAACCTGGCATATGCTGCTGATGTTATCCTCTTGATATGAGCTTCAGGGGACAGGTCTGGCGTGATATCAACCCCCCAGGTGTGTGTGTGTGTGTGTGTGTGTGTGTGTGTGTGTGTGTGTGTGTGTGTGTGTGTGTGTGTGTGTGTGTGTGTGCGTGCGCGTGTGTTAGAGAGAAATATACGTAGTAGATATAACAGAGGGAAAAAATAGATTGGTTAGAAAGACGGGGTCCAAGAGCTAATAGCTCGATTCTGCAGACACAAATAGTAAACACAAAATAGTAAATACACACACACTCACACTCTTAACTCAGAAACAAGAATAATTAGAGCTAATTCACCCTCTTTGAATGATAAAAAAAAAATTGCTTTAATTTCCAGTGATCCCCTTTGCAAACAATGAGAGCAAACATTATTTACAAACACCTGACCTGCACAAAGCATCGCCTCATTATCATGCTTCCGTCCCCAGTTCCGACCAGACAGAGCCCGACAGAACAATGAGAGCTGCATTGTTTGGTATGGTCGGCGGGGATCTGCAGCCTCATGATTTGTTGATTCAGCTGTTAGCCTATCATGTGCAACCCTTTTTTTATCTTCTATATAAAGCATTATTATCCTGTGTCATTTTGTTATAATTAAATTATTTATTTTCTATTTATATTTATATATACGAGAAGGTATATAATGAAAACTAATATTTTTTTCGGCCCCTTTGTTTCATTATTATTCCTAATACACGCATGTCGCTAAGGTTAGCGAGAGTACATAACATGCCCGAAACGCTTTGCGTAATAGTGGCTTTAGGCATTGTATGTACTAGCTCTATCTATAAATCTATCAATTTGTGTATAACCTCTTGTATGTATATACTTTACCTGAATAAACATTTATTTATTTATTTATTTATGTTTTTACATAGTAGCAAAGCTACATAACACGCATAGCGTTTCGGGGAGAGGGGGAGAATATTCAACTTCGCATAAATGTTGCTATTTTTGGGGGAGGAACTGAGGAATAGAGGAGAGGCATGTAAACAAAGAACTGATAACAATAATAGCAAGATCCTTGTGTTCCCACAACCACCTGGCGTCTGTGCTCACACGTGCGTTGCTATGACGACCGCGTCTCGTCGCACCACTGCCTGCCGTACGATTCAGTTGAAAACATTTAATTTCCGTATGTTGCGTTAGTTACAGTGATTTGAAATATGTAAAGAATGAATTTACATTTATATTTTATTTAGGCAGTATTATAGATTTTAGAGTAAATAGGAAGGTGTTTTTTTTTATATTTTGCGAAAATTTCCCGTTGAGTGTAAATTTCGGACAATTTGTTTTCCTTCTCGGCCAGACTGTCAGCCACTTTACAGCCAGTCATCAACGGAACGGCAGAGAGGTTGGGTGCATCTCGCGCTCTCCGCTCCACCTAAACTACAGTTCTTTGTCCCTGTTTAAACGTCAATTCACTATAGTAAATTCTAACTCGATGCGGTGCCATACTTAATTAGATTTCTCGAGTGAAGAAGCTAAGCATGTGAGAGATTAACGAGGTGAATGAAAAGCAGAACTAAGTAGTTTATAGAGCTAATGCTTCAACAAGTGGGGGTTTTTGATGGTAGTAACTCAATTGAAAAGTTGTAGTGGTAGTGTAGGAGGATTCTACCTTCAGCTCACCATGGACGGGAAATATACGGCGAGATTAATTCTTCCTCTTCTAGTTCTTCTCAGCCTCGGAAACGGTGAGTTAGTTGTTAATGCTGTTTCATAACGCATAGGCCTATTTATTTTTGTGTATTTTGTTGCTTCAAGGCAGTTTATTGTCCCTCTTGGCTCTACCTGCTAGAACTACCTCTACCTGCTAGAACTATCTCTACCTGCTAGAACTACCTCTACCTGCTAGAACTATCTCTACCTGCTAGAACTACCTCTACCTGCGAGAACTACCTCTACCTGCTAGAACTATCTCTACCTGCTAGAACTACCTCTACCTGCTAGAACTATCTCTACCTGCTAGAACTACCTCTACCTGCGAGAACTACCTCTACCTGCTAGAACTATCTCTACCTGCTAGAACTACCTCTACCTGCTAGAACTATCTCTACCTGCTAGAACTACCTCTACCTGCGAGAACTACCTCTACCTGGCTCTACCTCGTAAGTTATTATTAATGTCTTGTGCTTTACGTGTGTGTATTTACTCTTTGTATCTGCAGAATCGAGCTAATAGCTCTTGGACCTCACCTTTCTAACCAATTTATTTTTCCTCTATTATGTCTACTTTATATATTTCACTTGCACACGTATATCCACAGGAAGCAGCCCGTAGGAGCTGTCTGACTTCCAGGTATCTATTTACTGCTAGGTGAACAGGTACATTAGGGTGAAAGAAATTGATCATTTGTATCAGCCTCGCCCGGGAATTGAACCCGGGTCCTTAGGACTACAACTCCCAAGCACTGTCCACTCGCCCGCGAGGCCCCGTGTGTGTGTGTGTGTGTGTGTGTGTGTGTGTGTGTGTGTGTGTGTGTGTGTGTGTGTGTGTGTGTGTGTGTGTGTGTGTGTGTGTGTGCGCGCGTGTGTGTGTGTGTGCGTGTGTGCGCGCGTGCGTGCGTGTCTCTTAAGTAATTAGATAAGTGTAGTTACAGGATGAGAGCTACGCTCGTAGTGTCCCGTCTTCCCAGTACTCTTTGTCGTATAACTCCTTGAAACTACTGACGGTTTTGGCCTCCACCACCTTCTCACTTAACTTGTTCCAACCGTCTACCACTGTGTTTGCAAAAGAAAACTTTCTCATATTTTTTCGGCACCTTTGTTTCCTTAGTATTCCTAATTTCTAAGGCAATTAGAAAGTAGAAATCGGTACTATTGAATTTGGACAAATCGGAAACGTTTTGTAATAATGTTGCAAAGAAAACTTAACCTAATCTTCCTAGGCCTAATACACACTATCTGAAGTCTAATATTAGACCTAGAAATGTTTAAATTTGCCTTTTAACTTTATTTTTTCTTCAAACTATAAAGTGAAAAGTACTACATTCTACTATCTAATTGCCCATTGCGTCTATCTATGTGCGATAGTCCACATAATTACAAAAAGTACTATCAGAATAGAGGATGGGTTAGATTGTCTATGAAAATTGGATTAAATGTTAAAATTATGTAAACTGGACCGCCTAGGCACCCAACATTAAGGACACCCTTTTATGCGTACTAATGGCTTTATTAAATATGCATTTATGTAACTGATTTAACGAGTGTATTATGTTCTGTATATTTTGCAAATAAAGTTATAATTAATATTATTATTACTATATCAAAATTGCAAAAAATAACGTTTGGTTCTTTGTAAACTTTCATATAAACGAATGTTAGTGACGAGGCTAATCCGGTGATGGTGTGTTATTACAGCTAATACAGAAGGTTTTGCCTAAAACCTCACTATCCATCGAATAGTTAAAGTTGCCGGAATAATAATGACCAGCAGAATAACCACAACGGAGAATAATAATAACAGGATACAAATCGTGAAAACTGTGTTGACCACAGAAGGTCTTGGGGTTGTGTCGCGGCTGACATGACCGCCACCAACCCTGTACCCTGGACGCGGTGCTGGGACGCTCCGCTAGTTACTGTGGTTCAGCCCATCTTATACTGTCATGTGCCTTGTCAGTTGAGCCTTCACTGTCATGTAGCGTGTCAGTTGATCCTCCACTGTCATGTACTGTGTGTCAGTTGAGCCCTCACTGTCATGTACCGTGTGTCAGTTGATCCTCGTCTGTTATGTACCGTGTGTCAGTTGATCCTCCACTGTCATGTACCGTGTGTCAGTTGATCCTTCACTGTCATGTACCGTGTGTCAGTTGATCCTCGTCTGTTATGTACCGTGTGTCAGTTGATCCTCGTCTGTTATGTACCGTGTGTCAGTTGATCCTTCACTGTCATGTAGCGTGTGTCAGTTGATCCTCCACTGTCATGTAGCGTGTGTCAGTTGATCCTTCACTGTCATGTACCGTGTGTCAGTTGATCCTCCACTGTCATGTACCGTGTGTCAGTTGATCCTTCACTGTCATGTACCGTGTGTCAGTTTATGCTCCGGCGTTGTGTACCGTGTGTCAGTTCATCCTCTACCGTCCAGTACCGTGCATCAACCCATCTTCCACCGTCGTGTACCGTGCGTTAGCCCATTCTCCACCGTCGTGTACCATGTGTAAATATAAAATATTTAGCTACAGTGCATCAACCACAGTTCGTTGGCTGTTACCTGTTCTCAGACCAGCCTCGTTGTAACTCGCTCCATAAAAAACGCAGTCATAAATTTTTATCTTACTGTGTATTCAAAATGAGTATTTTCTCAAATAAAAAAATGAATATATAACTATATACCAAAATGTGTTCTTTTTTTTTTTTATTAACATATTAGGTACATCTGCATTAGTGCAGCTACCCTAGACTATATGAAGTGGAGTACAGTGTGTCAAAAAAAAACTAACTAGGTGATGCTATAAAATCCCCATCACACAGGATGGTTAGTCATACAGAGGCATGTGATTAGCGGTCTGCACTGGCAGACTCCGGATGCATTTTGAGGATATCAACAACACAAGATTGAATAAGGTAGCAGTGGTAATACAAGTCCCCATCTCGCAGGATGGTTAGTCATACAGAGTCATGTGTTTAATAGCCTGCACTGGCAAATTTTGGGTATACTGTGAGGATATCTTCAAGAATACGAGAGTGAATAAAGTAATTGCAAAGCTCCAGGTACCTCATGCCAACTGGTCTGAAAGGTCTAATAATTGGGCATTCAGTGATGTAGTGCGGGAGATCATGCCGTAGTTCCTGCTCACAGAGTTTGCAACTGGAGTGCTCAGGATTGGGAGACCCGTCACCTGCAGCCACCTGCCACAGGTAACGGTAACCCAACCTGATCCTTGCAACCACTGTGTCGCACAGTCTAGTGGACGTTTTGTGCTGTCCATAGATGTAGGTTTCAGATCTGAACAAATCATAGCTTTTTATACTAGTACTTTCAGGTCGTTGGGAGTCAGTAAGTTCTTTCCTATCAGATCTGAATGTTTGGACCAATACAGTTTTGACAGCAGAGATAGGGATACCTAGATCTAATTCAACTTCAAACTTGTTACACGCTAATTTGGCTGCAATGTCTGTCTCATTATGATGGGTTATATTTATGTGTGAAGGTATCCATACAAAGGAAATTCGAGACCCTTTACTCTGTGCATCAATTAGGTCATTTATAATTGGGAGTATGAGGTTCTTGCTGTCGATCTTCCAAGAGAAGTTTTCGATTGCTTGAAGAGCAGACTTTGAATCGCAGAATATTATTCCTCCTCCAATATTTTTTAATGTGCTGGTTGCTAAATGTAATGCTGCTAGTTCTGCTTGTGTGGAGGTCAGCCAGTTGTTTAGCCTGACACTGACAGACTTTGTGCAAATATTATTTCTATAGAACCTACATGCCGCTGCAGTCCGTCCAGTAGAAGACTGGACTGAGCCGTCGGTGTAGACACAGTGCTCGTGAGATCTTAGACTCTCGATGGAGGAGGCAATTGTTTCAAGAGTGACAGCTTTGAGTAGAGCAAGATTCTCATTATCTTTCTTGGTGACAGGTGTGTATGATACTTGAATGGTGGGGTACAGATAAAGAGGAATATCAGAGACTGGTAGATTGCACTTAAAAGGAATGTTAAGTTTAATGAGATTGTAAGCATTGTTTCTCAGCCAATTATCATAAAAGGAGTGAGTTGGTATGTCGGCACCAGTCAAAAGGGTGTTAACAGCACTAAATAATTTGTCTCTGAGCAATGTAGGAGATGTAGGATCTCTCATGACTTTAAGACAGAAGGTAGTGTTAACTTGCATTATTCTCTCTAGTATGGTTGGAAACTTCAGTTCTTCCCTCATGTTGATGATTCTTGTGCATCTTGGGGCACCAAGAATTATCCTCATGGCCTCGTTCTGTATTACTTCAAGTTTGTCCAACACAGAGGAGGGGAAATTAATTAAGTGCAGAGCATTATAATCAACGAGAGATCTAACAAACATCATATAGAATAGTCTAGCATATTTAATATTGATACCAATATTCTTACCAGTAAGTGTTCTCAATGGTTTTAGTCTTTCTTTTAACCTACGGTGTAGATCATTTACAATGTCACTGTTAATACCAACTCCAAGGTATTTGTGCTGCCCACACGTTTCAATGTTCTGGTTGTTGACCTTGAAAGCTATAGGGACATGAGTTTTCTCTTTGGGATGGAGAACTCTGGATTTAGTTATAGAGATAACAAGACCACATTCAATGCTTTTAGCAGCGAATGAATCAAGTAGAGCTTGCAGTCTAGTTTGGGAATTTGCAACAATGCATATATCATCGGCATAACAAATGACGGCTTCGTCAGGTAGTGTGGGAATATCAATTGTTAATTTGTGCATCAGAACATTGAACAGTGTGGGACTTAGCACTCCACCCTGGGGTGTACCCAACTCAAAGGGTGCACAGAGTTTACTTTTGACCCCCTTGAAAAGGACTGAGGCGGTTCTGTTACTCAGGTACCCCCTGAGCCATGTCAACAGTCTTCCCTTAACTCCAAAAGAGGCTAGCTGTTCTAGGATTATTTCTTTGTTTGCTGTATCAAAAGCAGTTTGGAGATCAATAAATGCCGCCTGAGAGTTTGGTCCCCCTCTGATAAAATACTCAGCAAAGCAAGTTTGTGTGC